GGAGCCAGTGAAGGGATTGTCAGAGAGGGGGGTGGAGGACACTGAGTGGAGGCCAGTGGAGGGATTGGCAGAGGGGGGTGGCAGATGTGGAGTGGTTGGTGAGGTGGAGGAGTCTGGCCACTGAGTTCAGGATAGACTGGAGTGGGGATAGCGTTTGTTTGGGTAGGCCAGTGAGGAGGGAGTTGCAGTAGTCCAGGCGTGAGATGATGAGGGAGGCCGGTGAGGAGGGAGTTGCAGTAGTCCAGGCGTGAGATGATGAGGGAGGCCGGTGAGAAGGGAGTGCAGTAGTCCAGGCGTGAGATGATGAGGGAGGCCAGTGAGGAGGGAGTTGCAGTAGTCCAGGCGTGAGTTGATGAGGGAGGCCAGTGAGGAGGGAGTTGCAGTAGTCCAGGCGTGAGATGATGAGGGAGGCCAGTGAGGAGGGAGTTGCAGTAGTCCAGGCGTGAGATGATGAGGGAGGCCGGTGAGGAGGGAGTTGCAGTAGTCCAGGCGTGAGATGATGAGGGAGGCCGGTGAGAAGGGAGTTGCAGTAGTCCAGGCGTGAGATGATGAGGGAGGCCAGTGAGGAGGGAGTTGCAGTAGTCCAGGCGTGAGTTGATGAGGGAGGCCAGTGAGGAGGGAGTTGCAGTAGTCCAGGCGTGAGATGATGAGGGAGGCCAGTGAGGCGGGAGTTGCAGTAGTCGAGGCGTGAGATGATGAGGGAGGCCGGTGAGAAGGGAGTTGCAGTAGTCCAGGCGTGAGATGATGAGGGAGGCCAGTGAGAAGGGAGTTGCAGTAGTCCAGGCGTGAGATGATGAGGGAGGCCGGTGAGAAGGGAGTTGCAATAGTTCAGGTGTGAGATGATGAGGGAGGCCGGTGAGAAGGGAGTTGCAGTAGTCCAGGTGTGAGATGATGAGGGAGGCAGGTGAGAAGGGAGTTGCAGTAGTCCAGGCGTGAGATGATGAGGGAGGCAGGCGAGAAGGGAATTGCAGTAGTCCAGGCGTGAGATGATGAGGGAGGCCAGTGAGGAGGGAGTTGCAGTAGTCCAGGCGTGAGATGATGAGGAAGGCCGGTGAGAAGGGAATTGCAGTAGTCCAGGCGTGAGATGATGAGGGAGGCCAGTGAGAAGGGAGTTGCAGTAGTCCAGGTGTGAGATGATGAGGGAGGCCGGTGAGAAGGGAGTTGCAGTAGTCCAGGTGTGAGATGATGAGGGAGGCCAGTGAGGAGGGAGTTGCAGTAGTCCAGGTGTGAGATGATGAGGGAGGCCGGTGAGAAGGGAGTTGCAGTAGTCCAGGTGTGAGATGATGAGGGAGGCCAGTGAGGAGGGAGTTGCAGTAGTCCAGGCGTGAGATGATGAGGGAGGCCAGTGAGGAGGGAGTTGCAGTAGTCCAGGTGTGAGATGATGAGGGAGGCCGGTGAGAAGGGAGTTGCAGTAGTCCAGGTGTGAGATGATGAGGGAGGCAGGTGAGAAGGGAGTTGCAGTAGTCCAGGCGTGAGATGATGAGGGAGGCAGGCGAGAAGGGAATTGCAGTAGTCCAGGCGTGAGATGATGAGGGAGGCCAGTGAGGAGGGAGTTGCAGTAGTCCAGGCGTGAGATGATGAGGAAGGCCGGTGAGAAGGGAATTGCAGTAGTCCAGGCGTGAGATGATGAGGGAGGCCAGTGAGGAGGGAGTTGCAGTAGTCCAGGTGTGAGATGATGAGGGAGGCAGGTGAGAAGGGAGTTGCAGTAGTCCAGGCGTGAGATGATGAGGGAGGCCAGTGAGGAGGGAGTTGCAGTAGTCCAGGCGTGAGATGATGAGGGAGGCCAGTGAGGAGGGAGTTGCAGTAGTCCAGGCGTGAGATGATGAGGAAGGCCGGTGAGAAGGGAATTGCAGTAGTCCAGGCGTGAGATGATGAGGGAGGCCAGTGAGAAGGGAGTTGCAGTAGTCCAGGTGTGAGATGATGAGGAGGCCAGTGAGGGGAGGCAGTAGTCCAGTGAGATGAGGGAGGAGTTGCAGTAGTCCAGGTGTGAGATGATGAGGAAGTGTACGAGTTGTTTGGTGGTGTCTGGGGTGAGGAATGTGCGTATCTTGGAGATGTTGCGGAGGTGGAGCCTGCAAGATCTAGATAGCAGTTGGATGTGGGGTAGGAAGGAGAGGTGGGAGTCCAGGGTGACACCCGGGACTTTGGCATGCGGGGTGGGATTGATGGTGGCGTTGTTAGCAGTGATGGAGAAGATGGGGGGGGGTGCAGGGGGGGGGGAGACCAGGAGCTCGGTTTTGGATAGGTTAAGTTTGAGGAAATGGAGCGACGTCCAGTCTGATATGTCGTTTAGGACCTAATCATTTAGAAGTTTGTCATACATTATTTTCACGATGCGGAGCGGATCTCTAATTTGTATTGTTTGAAGTTGGAGTGATCACGTTTGGAGTTCATTCACGTGTGCATTTTATTGAGCTATTGGTTTGGATTTTTATTGTATTTATATTTATATATTGATTAAGTTTGTTTTTTTTTTTCTCTCCCGTGTGATCTGAGTGCACATGATATGCAGTTTGCATGATACACGATTAGTGGCACTTTGTTGATTCATGTAAAAGGTAATACATTATCATAAATTCATATTTTTTGAGGTACACAAAGAATTGGGAAACGTTACGTTGGATTAAAGAAAGACACGATTTGTTTTGGAGGTGGAAAAGACTGTTAAATAGAGACAATGTTTGGACATTCATTGTTTGGGACATTTATTATTCATTATTTATATTTATTTTTTATTTTATGTATATTTCATGAATTTATTTAGTGTATATTTTGTTTACATTGGGATAGATATATTTACAAAGGAAAGTTCTTTATTATTTACGTTGACTTTCGAGGGTGAAAGTTGTTTACTTTTCTTCCAGGGTGTGGGAGTGTTTGTTAGAGTTGGGATTGTGCAGAGATACTGGTTTTTAATGCTCAATGGAAATGGTAACAATGTAGCAATAGGGATCTGGAATCTTCATGGCTCCGTGCACACTGGCATTTTTTCCGCTTCTAGAAGCTGTTATCAGCATTTTTTCTGCTCCTAGATGCAATTATCCTATGTGCCCATGCACACTGCTTTAGGCTATTGGAGCTTTTTGAGATTCAGCGTCTAGGATCGGAAAAAAAATTAGTTTTTTGTAGCGTTTTTCCAGAAAAAAAAAAATCGATATGCTCCTAAAGCTCTATATGTACTGTAAACCACTAATAAAACGTTAAATGCTTTTACCAGCGTTCTTTATCCAGCATTTTTCCCAGCTTTTTTTGTGTAACTTAACCGCTTTCCCGCCGCCCTATAGAAGATATACTGCTACAGAGCGGCAGGGGTGCGCAGAATCATGCATATATATATGTGATTTTGCCTTTTCGGATAGGGGGGCGCGCAGGATGTGCAACACGCCCTACCCTCACCGCTATTCGCAGCCTCGGCTGTCAATCACCGGGTCCCGGCTGGTGATTACTCACCGGCACCCGGTGATGGTGAAGGATTACTGATGGGGGAGAGAACTGTATGTAAACAATACAGATCTCTCCCCTGTCAGCTCCTGCACACTGCTTTGTATGGCTCTGCATAGCAGCATGCTCACAGTGAAACGCACACAGCCCAAGTAGTGAATCAGCACACAATTAACCCTTTGATCTCCCCATGTTAACCCCCTCCTGTCCAGTGCCCCTAGCACAGTATCAGTGCTTTTTATTAGCACTGATCACTGTATTGGTGTCACTGGGGATGTCAGTGACACCAAGCCAGTCCCCCCCAGTGTCAGAATATCTGCCACAGTCCCGCTATAAGTCACTAATTGTCTCAATTACTAGTAAAAAGAATAGTAATCCCAGTATATACACCGCCATTTGTACACGCTATAACTTTCACGTAAACCAATTCATTTACACGTATCGGGATTTTTGTTTAGCACAGACACGGAGCAGAATACATTTTGGCTGAAATTTATGAGGAAATTTGATTTGTTACATATTTTTACTGGACATGATTTATAGCAAAAAGTCAAAAATATTGTTTTTTTTTCCTCAAAATTTTTTTTTATAGCACAAGAAATAACAAAACGCACAAGCGATCAAATACCACCGAAAGAAAGCTCCATTCATGGGGGAAAAAAAGGACGTAAATTTCATTTGGGTGCAGCATTGCACGACCGCACAATTGTCAGAGTAACGCAGCGCCGTATCGCAATAAATGGCCTAGTCAGGAAGGGTGGGGGGGGGGGGGGGGATTCTCTGGAGGGTGGGAGGGGGGAAATAAGGGGGGGGGGATCTCTGGAGGGCAAGGGGGGGGGGAGAATCCTCTGGTGGGCAAGGGGTTAATAAAACCGCTAGTCTGCATGGAGCCTACATAGAAGTCAATGTGATCAGCCTGATGGCGGGATGTATATGGGGGGCTGTAGGACCCCCTGAGAGCTGGCCTGTCCTACTGATATTGGAGTTTATGGAGTCAAGGGTTCAATGATTGGTAAAGGGACCTGTCAGTAACAAAATCTCCATAAATCAATTCCTGACCAGGGGCGGACTGACCATTTGGAAACTCGGGCACTGCCCGAGGGCCCGGGGTCAGTAGGGGGCCCCATGAGATGCCCCTGGTACCTCTCTCATAGGCTTTTTTGAGTTTGGGCAAGGACACAGGGGCCCCATGATCCACTATTGCCCGGGGGCCCCATGAGTTGTCAGTCCGCCCCTGTTCCTGACCTATCACAGTGTCAGAAGTTCAGGAAAGCTCCGCCTTTTCTCATTTTAAAGCCGTCCTCGGAGAAGGTGCAGAGAAGAGCGACCAATCCGACCGGCTGCATGATTTGTGGCACGATTTCTCATGTAAAATCGATTTTCCTGAAAGTACTAATAAATATGTTTAATTCTACCAACTATCTATACTTTAATTCTTGTGAGTAGGTGCATGCATTGGGGCAGGCTGGTAGGGGCCCCCAGTGCATTACTTTGCCCAGGGGCCCGTGATGCTATTAGGACAGCCCCCCAAGAGACTACTAATCCCCTGTTGGTCCTCTGCAGGTCCCAATTTGCAGCCTGTCGGACCTGATGCTGTGTGGGATGGGCGCCTGCAGTAGGAAGGCCCTGACGCTACTTAGCAGCGTGTTCGCCGTCTGCGGCCTGGGACTTCTGGGAATCGCCGTCAGCACCGATTACTGGCTCTACCTGGAAGAGGGGATCATTCTGCCGCAAAACCAGACCACCGAGATCAAAATGTCGCTTCATTCTGGCCTGTGGAGGGTCTGCTTCCTGGCAGGTACGTCTACCATCATCTACATACCGGCCCAACGGCCATTGTATCTAGCTGGACTATAGACAGGACTATAGACAGACCGCACACAAAGACACAGAGGTCCTATATATATATATACACATCCAGGAGAGAACTATATACACAGATGTATAATAATGCTACAGTGACTGAAGAGGAGTGACATAGGAGGGTTGGGGCCCTTGTCTACGGGGCCTGTGGTGTTGTGGGCCCCAAAGCACTCATCTGTCACTGCTACACATACATTCAGTTAAAGTGGTATGAAATCCAAAATGTCATATTTTGCAGCTGTGTCCACCGTGGCCTCACCTGTGTCCTCCATGGCGTCCCCTGTCCTCCGTGGCGTCCCCTGTCCACCGTGGCATTCCGTGTCCTCCGTGGTGTCCCCTGCGTCCTCCGAGGTGTCCCCTGTGTCCTCCGTGGCATCCCATGTGTCGTCCCACGTCCTCCATGGCGCCCCCTACATCCTCCGTGGTGCCCCCTGCATCCTCCGTGGTGTTCCCTGTGGCATCTCCTGTGTCCTCTGTGGCTTCCCCTTTCCTCTGTGGCATCCCCTGCATCCTCCGTGGCATCCCCTGCATCCTCCGTGGTGTCCCCTGCATCCTCCGTGGCATCCCCTGCATCCTCCGTGGTGTCCCCTGCGTCCTCCATGGCGTCCCCATGGCGTCCCCTGCATCCTCCATGGCATCCCATGCATCCTCCGTACTGCGGAATCCACAGGAGCTTCCAGCACTGCAAGGATTGGCGCGGTGCCAGGCCTCCTGTTACGTGACCCTGTTACTGGGGTATTTTTAGCTGTGGTCTCCATTATCGAGGATAGAGCAAGTCTTGTGTGTGGGAGAAGTCAGACCGACACGCTGAGCGAGGTGATGCGACTTCCACGCCTGGCGGCCTTCACCTTCCATTCAGGAAAACCTTCCAACCAGTAAATAATGGTGAACCTTTAAAGTGAACCTGTCATGCCAGAGTGGACTTCTTTCAGGAAGTCTCTGACCTGGAGCCCTTACTAAGGTCTGGAGACCCAACGTCACTGGCTATTGGCTATACGTTGCACCATCCAGGTTGCAGTAAAGTCGTATCCAAGTTGCACCATCCAGAGTTGCAGTAAAGTCGTATCTAAGTTGCACCATCCAGAGTTGCAGTAAAGTCGTATCTAAGTTGCACCATCCAGAGTTGCAGTAAAGTCGTATCTAAGTTGCACCATCCAGAGTTGCAGTAAAGTCGTATCTAAGGTGCACCATCCAGAGTTGCAGTAAAGTCGTATCCAAGTTGCACCATCCAGAGTTGCAGTAAAGTCGTATTCAAGGTGCACCATCCAGAGTTGCAGTAAAGTCGTATCTAAGTTGTACCCATCCAGAGTTGCAGTAAAGTCGTATCTAAGTTGTACCCATCCAGAGTTGCAGTAAAGTCGTATCTAAGGTGCACCATCCAGAGTTGCAGTAAAGTCGTATTCAAGTTGCACCATCCAGAGTTGCAGTAAAGTCGTATCCAAGTTGCACCATCCAGAGTTGCAGTAAAGTCGTATCTAAGTTGCACCATCCAGAGTTGCAGTAAAGTCATATCGAAGTGCAGCAATCCAGAGTTGCAGTAAAGTCGTATCCTAGTTTGCACCATCCAGAGTTGCAGTAAAGTCGTATCCAAGTTGCACCATCCAGAGTTGACGTAAAGTGGTATCTAAGTGCAGCGATCCCTAGGGGTGTGCGCTCACATCTAAATAATTTCACTGTGTGCTTTTCTGCCCCAGCTGCCAGCATGCTGCAGAGAAGGAGCCCTGCACTGTGTGAGGAAGCAGTGGTCTCTCGTCAGAGGTCCGACACGCCTCTACTGAGTCAGAACTAGAGTCCTCCAATCAGCAGTGAGCATGAGATTTTTTCCGGGCACAAAGACGTAGCTACGCCTCAGCAGGGGGAGTGTCGGACCTGTGCAGAGAGACCACTGCTTCCATACAGACAACAAGGGTCCTTCTGTGCAGCATGCTGGCCGGGGACAGGCTTTCATAGTCAGGCACGGTACGGCAGTGAACATTGGGGGGGGGGGGGGGGTTCGCTGCACCTGGAATGTATCGGATTACATGAAATGTTCGGTTGCGCTTTACTGTGTCATGTCTGTCCCTGACAGGTGAGGAACAAGGACGATGCTTCACCATCGAGTATGTCATGCCCATGAACGTCCAGATGACATCAGAGTCCACCATCAGCGTGCTGAGTGAGTCAAAGAACATCTAACATCAATCGTTCCTTTTTCAGATCAGTATATTGATTACAGATTGGATCTTCCCAGCTACTGGTCCAGGCGTCTGGGTGAATCCCGACATTAACATCAGGACTGCTCCAGAGCCTGGACCGGCCGAGTGATGCTTGAAAAAGACATCGTGGTTGTTTCAAGGAGCACAATACGATACCTGAACAATAATGAGCTGCATGGTGGAGTTTGCCAGAAAGAAACCTTTACTGTGCCGATGCCACAAAGAAAAGCCCGGTGAGGTGTGTCAGGGTGTTGTCAGGCAGATTGTAACTGGGGTATTTGTGTGGCATTGGCGCAGTAAAGGCTTCTTACCGGCAACTCCACCATGCAGCTCATTTTTGTTCAGGTGTAGTATTGTGCTTCTTGATACAACCACACCGTCCTTTTCCAGAGCAGCCTGTATTTCTCCTGAGGTCACCTTTGGGGTTTTTCTTTGTATCACAAACAATTCTTTTGAAAACTTTCTTGACCTACCTGACCTTGGCTTGGTATCAAGCGATCCCCAAATTTCCCACTTCTTAAGTGATTGAGCAGCACTGACTGGCAGATTCAAGGCTTTGGATATCTTTTTCTCTACTTTTCCATCGTTATAAAGCTCCATTACCTTGTTACGCAGGTCTTTTGACAGTTCTTTTCTGCTCCCCATGGCTCAGTGTCTAGCCTGCTCAGTGCACCCACGTGAGAGCGAACAAACTCATCGACTATTTACATATCGACATTAACTGCAATGTAACAAGCTACAGATGTGGGAAATGAACCTTTAATTGTCACTGTACCCCATGTGTGTCACCTTGTGTGTCTGTACCAAAGCCGGACCTTTCAGGGGAGGGAAACTTTTCACCAGGGCCACTGGTACAACCCTGGTAGAGATAAAGGTGGCCCCTCAGTGACACCAACCAGTACACCCAGTATACAATACAAACTAGGGAATGATGGTGAGGAGTGGTCCCTCAGTGACACCAACCAGTACACCCTGTATACAATACAAGCTGGAGGTGAGTGAGGAGTGGTCCCTCAGTGACACCAACCAGTACACCCAGTATACAATACAACCTGGAGATAGGTGAGTGAGTGGTCCCTCAGTGACACCAACCAGTACACCCAGTATACAATACAAGCTGGAGATGAGTGAGGAGTGGTCCCTCAGTGACACCAACCAGTACACCCTGTATACAATACAAGCTGGAGATAAGTGAGGAGTGGTCCCTCAGTGACACCAACCAGTACACCCTGTATACAATACAAGCTGGGGGATGAGTGAGGAGTGGTCCCTCAGTGACACCAACCAGTACACCCAGTATACAATACAAGCTGGAGATGAGTGAGGAGTGGTCCCTCAGTGACACCAACCAGTACACCCAGTATACAATACAAGCTGGAGATGAGTGAGGAGTGGACCCTCAGTGACACCAACCAGTACACCCAGTATACAATACAAGCTGGGGGATGTGTGAGGAGTGGTCCCTCAGTGACACCAACCAGTACACCCAGTATACAATACAAGCTGGAGATGAGTGAGGAGTGGTCCCTCAGTGACACCAACCAGTACACCCAGTATACAATACAAGCTGGAGAGGAGTGAGGAGTGGTCCCTCAGTGCACCAACCAGTACACCCAGTATACAGTACAAGCTGGAGATGAGTGAGGAGTGGTCCCCCAGTGACACCAACCAGTACACCCAGTATACAATACAACCTGGAGATGAGTGAGGAGTGGTCCCTCAGTGACACCACACCAACAGTACACCCAGTATACAATACAAGCTGGAGATGAGTGAGGAGTGTTCCCTCAGTGACACCAACCAGTACACCCAGTATACAATACAAGCTGGAGATGAGTGAGGAGTGGTCCCTCAGTGACACCAACCAGTACACCCAGTATACAATACAAGCTGGAGATGAGTGAGGAGTGGTCCCTCAGTGACACCAACCAGTACACCCAGTATACAATACAAGCTGGAGATGAGTGAGGAGTGGTCCATCAGTGACACCAACCAGTACACCCAGTATACAATACAAGCTGGAGAGGAGTGAGGAGTGGCCCCTCAGTGACACCAACCAGTACACCCAGTATACAATACAAGCTGGAGGTGAGTGAGGAGTGGTCCCCTCAGTGACACCAACCAGTACACCCAGTATACACAATACAAGCTGGAGATGAGTGAGGAGTGGTCCCTCAGTGACACCAACCAGTACACCCAGTATACAATACAAGCTGGAGGTGAGTGAGGAGTGGTCCCTCAGTGACACCAACCAGTACACCCAGTATACAATACAAGCTGGAGATGAGTGAGGAGTGGTCCCTCAGTGACACCAACCAGTACACCCACCCAGTATACAATACAAGCTGGAGATGAGTGAGGAGTGGTCCCTCAGTGACACCAACCAGTACACCCAGTATACAATACAAGCTAGAGATGAATGAGGAGTGTTCCCTCAGTGACACCAACCAGTACACCCAGTATACAATACAAGCTGGAGATGAGTGAGGAGTGTTCCCTCAGTGACACCAACCAGTACACCCAGTATACAATACAACCTGGAGATGAGTGAGGAGTGGTCCCTCAGTGACACCAACCAGTACACCCAGTATACAATACAACCTGGAGATGAGTGAGGAGTGGTCCCTCAGTGACACCAACCAGTACACCCAGTATACAATACAAGCTGGAGATGAGTGAGGAGTGGTCCCTCAGTGACACCAACCAGTACACCCAGTATACAATACAAGCTGGGGATGAGTGAGGAGTGGTCCCTCAGTGACACCAACCAGTACACCCAGTATACAATACAAGCTGGAGAGGAGTGAGGAGTGGCCCCTCAGTGACACCAACCAGTACACCCAGTATACAATACAAGCTGGAGGTGAGTGAGGAGTGGTCCCTCAGTGACACCAACCAGTACACCCAGTATACAATACAAGCTGGAGGTGAGTGAGGAGTGGTCCCTCAGTGACACCAACCAGTACACCCAGTATACAATACAAGCTGGAGATGAGTGAGGAGTGGTCCCTCAGTGACACCAACCAGTACACCCAGTATACAATACAAGCTGGAGGTGAGTGAGGAGTGGTCCCTCAGTGACACACCAACCAGTACACCCAGTATACAATACAAGCTGGAGATGAGTGAGGAGTGGTCCCTCAGTGACACCAACCAGTACACCCAGTATACAATACAAGCTGGAAGATGGAGATGAGTGAGGAGTGGTCCCTCAGTGACACCAACCAGTACACCCAGTATACAATACAAGCTAGAGATGAATGAGGAGTGGTCCCTCAGTGACACCAACCAGTACACCCAGTATACAGTACAAGCTGGAGATGAGTGTTCCCTCAGTGACACCAACCAGTACACCCAGTATACAATACAAGCTGGAGATGAGTGAGGAGTGGTCCCTCAGTGACACCAACCAGTACACCCAGTATACAATACAAGCTGGAGATGAGTGAGGAGTGGTCCCTCAGTGACACCAACCAGTACACCCAGTATACAATACAAGCTGGAGATGAGTGAGGAGTGGTCCCTCAGTGACACCAAACCAGTACACCCAGTATACAATACAAGCTGGAGATGAGTGAGGAGTGGTCCCTCAGTGACACCAACCAGTACACCCAGTATACAATACAAGCTGGAGAGGAGTGAGGAGTGGCCCCTCAGTGACACCAACCAGTACACCCAGTATACAATACAAGCTGGAGGTGAGTGAGGAGTGGTCCCTCAGTGACACCAACCAGTACACCCAGTATACAATACAAGCTGGAGGTGAGTGAGGAGTGGTCCCTCAGTGACACCAACCAGTACACCCAGTATACAGTACAAGCTGGAGATGAGTGTTCCCTCAGTGACACCAACCAGTACACCCAGTATACAATACAAGCTGGAGATGAGTGAGGAGTGGTCCATCAGTGACACCAACCAGTACACCCAGTATACAATACAAGCTGGAGATGAGTGAGGAGTGGTCCCTCAGTGACACCAACCAGTACACCCAGTATACAATACAAGCTGGAGATGAGTGAGGAGTGGTCCATCAGTGACACCAACCAGTACACCCAGTATACAATACAAGCTGGAGAGGAGTGAGGAGTGGCCCCTCAGTGACACCAACCAGTACACCCAGTATACAATACAAGCTGGAGGTGAGTGAGGAGTGGTCCCTCAGTGACACCAACCAGTACACCCAGTATACAATACAAGCTGGAGATGAGTGAGGAGTGGTCCCTCAGTGACACCAACCAGTACACCCAGTATACAATACAAGCTGGAGATGAGTGAGGAGTGTTCCCTCAGTGACACCAACCAGTACACCCAGTATACAATACAAGCTGGAGATGAGTGAGGAGTGGTCCCTCAGTGACACCAACCAGTACACCCAGTATACAATACAAGCTGGAGATGAGTGAGAGAGTGGTCCCTCAGTGACACCAACCAGTACACCCAGTATACAATACAAGCTGGAGGTGAGTGAGGAGTGGTCCCTCAGTGACACCAACCAGTACACCCAGTATACAATACAAGCTGGAGAGGAGTGAGGAGTGGTCCCTCAGTGACACCAACCAGTACACCCAGTATACAATACAACCTGGAGAGGAGTGGTCCCATGTATTTACCAGTAAAAAAACCTCCAAAATGTCACCAGGTAATTCTGTGAGATGTAAATGATTTTTTCCTCCTCCCTGACACCTACTCTGGTATGAGGGGCCCCATGTGAGGAGTGTGATGACACCGTGTGCCGCTACCTACGCAGCAAGCAGACGTGTGATGGAGGGGTGGCTGGAAGCGGCAGAGCAATCATGAATATGACTTTCCCTTATATTGTACACGCCCAAAGCTCAGCACCAATCAGATCATTTCCCGTCTGTAATGTCCATCCAATCTGTGTACGATCGATCGATACATCGAAATCCCCGGAGTGTATCAACGTGAGTCCCGTATTCCCGTCACACGCAATCTGCAAACTTCTGTTCTTCACACACGCGGGGCACAGATTCTTCCGTTTCAAAATAAATTGAAGTAGAGTATTGTGTTTCGGGGGTGGGGGGGTAGATCTATTGTTGCTGGGGAGGTATTTAGTTTCAGGTGGCGGATCTATTGCTGCTGGGGAGGTATTTTGTTGCTGGGGTGGATCCATTGTTGCTGGGGAGGTATTTTGTTGCTGGGGTGGATTCATTGTTGCTGGGGAGGTATTTTGTTGCTGGGGTGGATTCATTGTTGCTGGGGAGGTATTTTGTTGCTGGGGTGGATTCATTGTTGCTGGGGAGGTATTTTGTTGCTGGGGTGGATTCATTGTTGCTGGGGAGGTTTTTGTTGCTGGGGTGGATTCATTGTTGCTGGGGAGGTATTTTGTTGCAGGGGGTGTATCTATTGTTGCTGGGGAGGTATTGTGTTTCAGGTGGTGTATCTATTGTTGCTGGGGAGGTATTTTGTTTCAGGTGGTGGATCTATTGTTGCTGGGGGATCTATTTTTGCTGGGGCATCTATTGTTGATGGTAGAGGATCTGTTGTTGCTGGGGTGGATCCATTGTTGCTGGGGAGGTATTTAGTTTCAGGTGGCGGATCTATTGTTGCTGGGGAGGTTTTTAGTTTCAGGTGGTGGATCTATTGTTGCTGGGGAGGTATTTTGTTGCTGATGGGGAGGTATTTTGTTGCTGAGGATGTATTTTGTTGCTGGGGAGGATCTATTGTTGCTGTGGAGGTATTTTGTTTCAGGTGGTGGATCTATTGTTGCTGGGGGATATTTTTTTGCGGGGGGGGATCTATTTGTTGATGGTAGAGGATCTATTGTTGCTGGGTGATCTATTGTTGCTGGGGAGGTATTTTGTTTCAGGTGGTGGATCTATTGTTGCTGGGGAGGTATTTTGTTGCTGGGGTGGATCTATTGTTGCTGGGGAGGTATTTTGTTTCAGGTGGTGGATCTATTGTTGCTGGGGAGGTATTTTGTTTCAGGGGCGGATCTATTGTTGCTGGGGAGGTATTTTGTTTCAGGTGGCGGATCTATTGTTGCTGGGGAGGTATTTTGTTTCAGGTGGCGGATCTATTGTTGCTGGGGAGGTATTTTGTTTCAGGTGGCGGATCTATTGTTGCTGGGGAGATATTTTGTTTCAGGTGGGCGGATCTATTGTTGCTGGGGAGGTATTTTGTTTCAGGTGGCGGATCTATTGTTGCTGGGGAGGTATTTTGTTTCAGGTGGCGGATCTATTGTTGCTGGGGAGGTATTTTGTTTCAGGTGGCGGATCTATTGTTGCTGGGGAGGTATTTTTTTTCAGGTGGCGGATCTATTGTTGCTGGGGAGGTATTTTGTTTCAGGTGGCGGATCTATTGTTGCTGGGGAGGTATTTTGTTTCAGGTGGCGGATCTATTGTTGCTGGGGAGGTATTTTGTTTCAGGTGGCGGATCTATTGTTGCTGGGGAGGTATTTTGTTTCAGGTGGTGGATCTATTGTTGCTGGGGAGGTATTTTGTTTCAGGTGGCGGATCTATTGTTGCTGGGGATCTATTATCATTAACATATTTATTACCAGAAAATGATCTGTGTTCTCTAAAAGGGGCGGGGCTGATCGGGGGGTAGAGGGTGAATTAAAGGGAAGTGCTCGAAGGTGAGAAGGGGGCGGAGTCAAGGAGTGACCCTGAAGGGGGAGGTTCTTGCCCCTATAGTCTGACTAAAGCTGGAGAGGGCAGAATCTGGTGCATGGCAGCCAATCAGCTTGTACCTTCAGCTTGTCCAATGAAGCTCTGACAATAAAACCTGATTGGTTCCTATGCAGAGCTGCAGCAGATTTTGCAGCCTCCAGTTTCAGTAAATACCGCCCCCCCATTATGGGGGAACTCCGGACGGTCCTGGTCTCCTGTGCTGCCATTGGTTTATAATGCGTTTTGTTTCTTTTCTTCTTCCTGCAGAAATGATTCGCTCAGCCACTCCCTTCCCATTGGTCAGCCTCTTCTTCATGTTTATTGGGTTTATACTGAACAACGTGGGACACATCCGGCCCCATCGGACCATTCTGGCCTTCGTGTCGGGGGGATCTTCTTCATCCTGTCCGGTGAGTCTTCCTGGAACGTTCACCTGGGAAGTCCCGGAGGAGTCACAAGTCTCTAATTTCCCACCCAGAAGTCAGATTGTACTGTATGGAGATCCAGACTAGGTTCCAAAATGTGTGTATGAAGCATCGTATGGTGCGCCGCTCTCCACACCCCCCCCCCTCTGAAAAGCAATCCACACAGGCTGCCAGGATTCAGGAGGCGCTACTGCCACCTCCCTAATGTCTGGATTAGGCCAAAGTGGGATTTTCTATGGAAATACCACTGGTGTCAGTGGGAGGAATAGTGCCCCATCATTGGTGTCAGTGGGAGGAATAGTGCCCCATCATTGGTGTCAGTGGTAGGAATAGTGCCCCATCATTGGTGTCACTGGGAGGAATAGTGTCACCATCATTGGTGTCAGTGGGAGGAATAGTGCCCCATCATTGGTGTCAGTGGGAGGAATAGTGCCCCGTCATTGGTATCAGTGGGAGGAATAGTGCCCCATCATTGGTGTCAGTGGGAGGAATAGTGCCCCATCATTGGTGTCAGTGGGAGGAATAGTGCCCCATCATTGGTGTCAGCGGGAGGAATAGTGCCCCATCATTGGTGTCAGCGGGAGGAATAGTGCCCCATCATTGGAGTCAGCGGGAGGAATAGTGCCCATCATTGGTGTCAGTGGGAGGAATAGTGCCCCATCATTGGTGTCAGCGGGAGGAATAGTGCCCCATCATTTGTGTCAGCGGGAGGAATAGTGCTCCCTCATTGGTATCAGTGGGAGGAATCGTGCCCCATCATTGGTGTCAGTGGGAGAAATAGTGCCCCATCATTGGTGTCAGTGGGAGGAATAGTGCCCCATCATTGGTGTCAGCGGGAGGAATAGTGCCCCATCATTGTGTCAGCGGGAGGAATAGTGCCCCATCATTGGTGTCAGCGGGAGGAATAGTGCCCCATCATTGGTGTCAGTGGGAGGAATAGTGCCCCATCATTGGTATCAGCGGGAGGAATAGTGCCCCATCATTGGTGTCAGTGGGAGGAATAGTGCCCCATCATTGGTGTCAGTGGGAGGAATCGTGCCCCATCATTGGTGTCAGTGGGAGGAATAGTGCTCCCTCATTGGTGTCAGTGGGAGGAATCGTGCCCCATCATTGGTGTCAGTGGGAGGAATAGTGCCCCATCATTGGTGTCAGTGGAAGGAATAGTGCCCCATCATTGGTGTCAGTGGGAGGAATAGTGCCCCATCATTGGTGCCAGTGGAAGAATAGTGCCCCATCATTGGTGTCAGTGGAAGGAATAGTGCCCCATCATTGGTGTCAGTGGGAGGAATAGTGCCCCATCATTGGTGTCAGTGGGAGGAATAGTGCCCCATCATTGGTATCAGTGGGAGGAGTAGTGTCCCATCATTGGTGTCAGTGGGATGAATAGTGCCCCATCATTGGTGTCAGTGGGAGGAATAGTGCCCCATCATTGGTGTCAGTGGGAGGAATAGTGCCCCATCATTGGTGTCAGTGGGAGGAATAGTGCCCCATCATTGGTGTCAGTGGGAGGAATAGTGTCCCATCATTGGTGTCAGTGGGAGGAGTAGTGCCCCTTCATTGGCGTCAGTGGGAGGAATAGTGCCCCATCATTGGTGTCAGTGGGAGGAATAGTGTCCCGTCATTGGTGTCAGTGGAAGGAATAGTGCCCCATCATTGGTGTCAGTGGGAGGAATAGTGCCCCATCATTGGTGTCAGTGGGAGGAATAGTGCCCCATCATTGGTGTCAGTGGGAGGAATAGTGCCCCATCATTGGTGTCAGTGGGAGGAATAGTGCCCCATCATTGGTGTCAATGGAAGGGATGGTGCCTCACATTGGTGTCAGTGGGAGGAATAGTGTCCCATCATTGGTGTCAGTGTGAGGAATAGTGCCCCATCATTGGTATCAGTGGGAGGAATAGTGCCCCATCATCGGTGTCAGTGGGAGGAATAGTGTCCCATCATTGGTGTCAGTGGGAGGAATAGTGCCCCATCATTGGTGTCAGTGGGAGGAATAGTGTCCCATCATTGGTGTCAGTGGGAGGAATAGTGTCCCATCATTGGTGTCAGTGGGAGGAATAGTGTCCCATCATTGGTGTCAGTGGGAGGAATAGTGTCCCATCATTGGTGTCAGTGGGAGAATAGTGCCCCATCATTGGTGTCAGTGGGAGGAATAGTGTCCCATCATTGGTGTCAGTGAGAGGAATAGTGCCCCATCATTGGTGTCAGTGGGAGGAATAGTGCCCCATCATTGGTGTCAGTGGGAGGAATAGTGCCTCATCATTGGTGTCAGTGGGAGGAATAGTGTCCCATCATTGGTGTTAGTGGGAGGAATAGTGCCCCATCATTGGTGTCAGTGGGAGGAATAGTGTCCCGTCATTGGTGTCAGTGGGAGGAATAGTGTCAAATCTGGATAAAAACATGCAAAGGGCCACGTGTCAATGGAAGGGCCAGACAAAGTCAAGCCAAGGGCCACATCCGGCCGTGGGCCGCAGTTTGGAGACCCTTGCTCTAAATAGACCAAAGATGTAACAAAGTATCTGTATTATTACGTAGCGAAGTTGTTTAATTGGATAGAAGGATCGATGAGGAGAGGAAGGTAAAATAGGACATGGGGGGGAGGAGGAGCGGCAGTGTTCGTGGTGACAATCTTGCGCTTTTTCTGCGCACGCAGCACTTGGTCGTTGTTCGCAGCATCAGGACGTCTCCTCTGCACATCCGGGACAACAGCGATAATTGTGGCCCAGAAATGCCATCTTGCAGGTCGTGTTTATTCCTCTCCCGGTCAATGCAGGCAGTGAAGCAGAGAATTGCCTCCGCCACAGCGCAGACCTTAGGTATTGTCATCTGGTACGGGGGCGCTCGCCCCTCCCGCTCAATCACCGCACATAATAACCGTGTCTGTTATCAGCAGCGCAGGTCTGCTGTGTATTGTGGCAGCTGTCCAGGAGGGAGGGAGCTCACAATTGGAGGGGGAAAGTGCGACCCCCCCCCCAGGCCATGAGGTGCTGAACTCCAGGCACACAGCTAAATACACAGAAAGGAGATGATTTATCTACTATGAATTGGTATTTGTCACCATCCAGCTGTAAGACATGCACACGCCAGCCAGGCAGTACAGCCAGGTTGGTGACCTGACTTTTCCTCTGCTGAAGTTCAGCAATAAGGCTTGGTCACTGCCCCGCCCCCAGGCTGTGATTGGACATTGGAGGAGGGGACGAAGTTCACTGCGCTGCTCGCTGACATCATACAGTCAGGTCCATAAATATTGGGACATGGACACAATTCTAACATTTTTGGCTCTATACACCACAATGGATTTGAAATGAAAGGAACAAGATGTGCTTTAACTGCAGACTGTCAGCTTTAATTTGAGGGTATTTACATCCAAATCAGGTGAACGGTGTAGGAATTACAACAGTTTGCATATGTGCCTCCCACTTGTTAAGGGACCAAAAGTAATGGGACAATTGGCTTCTCAGCTGTTCCATGACCAGGTGTGTGTTATTCCCTCATTATCCCAATTACAATGAGCAGATAAAAGGTCCAGAGTTCATTTCAAGTGTGCTATTTGCATTTGGAATCTGTTGCTGTCAACTCTCAAGATGAGACCCAAAGAGCTGTCACTATCAGTGAAGCCATCATTAGGCTGAAAAAACAAAACAAACCCATCAGAGAGATAGCAAAAACATGAGGCGTGGCCAAAACAACTGTTTGGAACATTCTTAAAAAGAAGGAACGCACCGGTGAGCTCAGCAACACCAAAAGACCCGGAAGACCACGGAAAACAACTGTGGGGGGATGAGCGAAGAATTCTTTCCCTGGTGAAGAAAACACCCTTCACAACAGTTGGCCGGATCAAGAACACTCTCCAGGAGGTAGGTGTATGTGTGTCAAAGTCACCAATCAAGAGAAGACTTCACCAGAGTGAATACAGAGGGTTCACCACAAGATGGAAACCATTGGTGAGCCTCAAACACAGGAAGGCCAGATTAGAGTTTGCCAAACGACATGTAAAAAAAGCCTTCACAGTTCTGGAACAACATCCTATGGACAGATGAGACCGACATCAACTTGTACCAGAGTGATGGGAAGAGAAGAGTATGGAGAAGGAACTGCTCATGGTCCTCAGCATACCACCTCATCAGTGATCATGGTGGTGGTAGTGTCATGGCGTGGGCATGTATGGCTGCCAATGGAACTGCTTCTCTTGTATTTATTGATGATGTGACGGCTGACAGAAGCAGCCGGATGAATTGTGAAGTGTTTCGGGAATATTATCGGCTCATATTCAGCCAAATGCTTCACAACTCATTGGACGCTTCACAGTGCAGATGGACAATGACCCAAAGCAGACTGCAAAAGACCACCAAAGAAGTGGAATGTTCTGCAATGGCCAATCACCTGACCTGAATCCGATGGAGCATTTCACTTGCTGAAGACAAAACTGAAGGGAAAATGCCCCAAGAACAAGCAGGAACTGAAGACAGTTGCAGTAAAGGCCTGGCAGAGCATCACCAGGGATGACACCCAGCGTCTGGGGATGTCTATGCGTTCCACACTTCAGGCTGTCATTGACTGCAAAGGATTTGTAACCAAGTATTAAAAAGTGAAAGTTTGATTTATGATTATTATTCTGTCCCATTACTTTTGGTCCCTTAACAAGTGGGAGGCACATATGCAAACTGTTGTCATTCCTACACCGTTCACCTGATTTGGATGTAAATACCCTCAAATTAAAGCTGACAGTCTGCAGTTAAAGCACATCTTGTTGGTTTCATTTCAAATCCATTGTGGTGTATAGAGCCAAAAATGTTAGAATTGTGTCCATGTCCCAATATTTATGGACTTGACTGTATGTGCTGCACACCATGTGAGGGCTATGGGGGCCCAAAGCTGTCCACCTACACAGCGATCTATGCAGAGAGCGGCAGTCCTTCGTAAATACATCTGGATATAGAAGGTTTGAGAAATCTCCATCAGGTTGGTTGGGACACAATAGGCATCTT